AATCTTTCAAAGTAGTCAGTAGAAATATTTGTTCAAACAGATATCCATGCAGTATTACCTTAACCAATTGATAAGGAAAGAAACAGAGTTCAATTCCACTGACCTGAACTAACCCCACTGACCCACCAACTCCAAGGTTTTACTTCCTCATCAGCTATGATAAAATATCACAAAAAACAGCAACACAATCAGAAGACTCAAATATGAAATATGACCATGGTGGTGTCCCAAAATTTAAATGCATATTTTAATTTAGATAGTCTATAAAAATATGGAATACTAAGACTCATCAAAAGTATGTCATTTAATAATTCCTTATTCTTGTATTAAAGTAACTATCCAATCGTTTAATGTTTTTAAGGGCTCTATTCTTTTGCAATGATCCAGAGAACATTCTAGATATGAAGGTTAAACACAATGTGTTCAGAACAGAATGTAAGGTCTGCCAAGTTAGCAACTTGCATGACACACTCTCAACCTTTGCTATAAAGATATATATTACATGCACTTTTGCTATAATTTATACATAATGTATGTCACATGCATATTTTCTGTCGCACATCTCTTAATCTGCCCCCCACATTCAATATGCATATACACATGTATATATGCGTGCAGGGAAACAAAGGTAAGCATGATCAGATGTCCCTTACAGTAGTTTGCTAGAGAGATTATACCTATGCTGTTCCTTGTTTGGCTGGCTGAGGTACAAAAGGTAAATAAAGATTTATGGGCTATCTTGTTATATGTATCATGTCTTTCAACTAGAACTTTGTCTTACTCTTACATTCTTTTCAATGTCTGGAACTGTGAGATACTAGGCATATGTTAGTAGAAAATGAAATGTCCAAACGCATGTAGTACCTGGGTTCATATCCTAAACCCACTAGTTAACAGCTGAGAGATCAAGTCCTTAAATGCCCTGAGCTTCAGCATCTTCATCAATAAAACGTGTTAAGACATCAGCATACTCATATAGAGATATCCCCCTAGATTGTACTTGCTCATTAACTGATAAACTTGCCTCAGAAAAGGTCTGGAGTTCCTGCCAACCATTACTTTTACAGACTTGCCTGCTTTACAGCTCTACAGACAGGTGTTTGAGAATATAAGAAATTAAAATAGAAATAGGAAAGCTTTTTAGTCCATTTTGCTAATTAATGTGTCAGAGCTCATAAAGAAGAAGTCATCAGCTTTCTTTAGTACTGCATCATCTGAAAGAGCTGGGTCAGCAAAGATCTTGCAGACAGTCAATACGTATTAAAACAGCTCCCAGCAGTAAATCAAAACAACAAAAAATGAAGACACAGTAAAAAAATAAAATTTATAAGTCCTTTCTGTCTGAATGCTGAGGAGCATGAAACTATTGGTTTAGGTGTCAATTCAGTAAGCATAAAAAAGAAATGATGCCTTTTCAGATATATAATATGGGTCTGTACAGTCAAAATTAACACATATTTTTTTAAAGCTATGCCAAATTTAATGTTATTTTCTCTGGATTCTAATGTTCCCTTGTAATATTTAATATAAATTAATATTTATTGGTTTATTATTTAAAATATATTTCATTGTTTAAAATAAAATTTAAAATATGTATTTTAAAATATATATTGGTTTTACTGTTTAAAATATATAAAATATATCTTGTTTAAAATATATAATATAAAATTTACATAAAATATATAATATAAAAATTGTATACATATAATATATACACAATATATATTTGAATATATATATATATATTCAAAGCCTACATTGCTAGGGTTTGAATTTTGTTAGAATTCAATTAGTGAAATAGCTAGGGAAAGAGGTAAAAGACACCTTAATGGTTTTTCAACGCTCTCTGAAACTTGTGATTTTTCTTTAAAAAAACAAATGAAAGGCAAAAATTTGCTTCCAACTTCTCTGGGTAGGTCTCTCCATTCCATAGACACAAATACCTCTCGCACATGGATGAGCACCCTGCACAATTACAAGAAAGAGAACATCCTGCCATCTTCGATGCCAAGGTATGGATGTAATGTGCCGCCAGGGAAAGGAAGCGCCTGAGGTAGGGCATTAGAGGAATCTTGAGAATACTTGAATTGATTTCAGAAGGGGTGAGGGAACACTACTTCTGCGGCCAAAAATGTTGGAAAGATTATCTTACCTGAGCCTTTGATTTGATCTGAGCTCAGAGGAATCAGCCATTTAAAGATTAAGATTAAGCCAAGGAAAGGATGCCAAAAATATTGTCACAAATTTGGGAGGTATCCAAGCCAGACCAACAGATGGAAATTGGCATGAAATGGCTCTCTACCCACTAAGTAGCTGACGCAGAAGAAATTTTAATTCAGATGAATTTATTAAAATCTTGCATATCATCCCAAATAAGAGGATGGATGATAGATTTAGGTCAGCATATACTATTTAATTTAACTTCCTGATGGTCTTGGATCGTATGAAAATTGTCCACATTCCTACAATTAAAAATAGACAGAGGGAGATATTTTTTCTTCTCAGCAAAAGAGAAATCACTTTTTCTTTTTAAACCTAAATATTCTGGAGAAAGGATCTGGAGAAGGGAAAGGTGATAAAGAAGTCAAATGATTCCTTTTGATGTTGGTGAGACAAGTATGATCATGTAACATTATACATTATAATTCAAATTGGTAACTAGCTGAGTACTCCCAGGCTGTAGCAGATTGAGACTAAAGTTATATATTAGGTTGGTTTTTTAAATGATTTTGTATCTAAGAGGGGTTGCCAGAATTAAAGGACCCTTGATCCTCTTTCACCACCTCCACCAACACCTAATGAGACATTGCCTGACAAAAATGCCAAACACAGAAGTGGGGGGGGTGCCTTTTATAAGGCAGGTGAATTCTTGAGGATCATTATAATTCAAGACTAACCTTCCAAAGGTCAAATATAGACCATGGGGAGAGGGTATTTTCTTGAGTATATAAACTTACAATGTTAGTAGCATATTTTTCCTTAATGTTGCTTTGTATTTTTCTTAGAACTGCTAGTAAGGTTTTACAGAGTGCTTTCAATTTAACTCTAGAGTATATAATTTTAGGGAATTGTTTAGTGCTCTTCACTGTGTTTTATCATATGCTGCTTTTGCTCCAAAGTTATCAACTTTCTGGTTGTTTTTTAGCATTTGCGTCAGTTCCACAGACGGCCAATTAAAACCTTAAATGATGCTGTGATAGGATATAAAAGTACTTAAAAATATAAGGATAGTGAATATTGTAGTGGCAGTTACAATATAACCCAAAATCTTCTTTAAAACATCTGAGGTACATAAACAGTATGGCTCATGTAAGTAATAGGAAGACTGTAAGTACAATTTCTATCAATCAGTTAAAGCCACCATATGGAGCTTACAGTGAATCTACCTAACAGCTTTAAAATTATGCTATTTTGACACTTTTATTTAGAAGACTATTATAAATTTTGCACTTAGAGTAATTCTTTATTAATATTTTCAAATCATACTATATAAAAACATATCATTCAATCTTACCTAAAATAATACAGCAATATGAAAAGGCGGACAATAACTTTTAGTTACTGGCTAATAGTAATTTGTTTGGGAATTAAAGAATATTAAAATAAAATTTGATTTCTTGGACAGAGCCAGAAAGTTTATCATTGCCACCTTTTCAAAAACCAAATGGATAAACATTCTTAAACGCTGCTTTCACTTTTTACCTTGAAGCCTATGCCAGTACATAGGCTTTAATGCTCAGGTATTAAAATGGAAGAGAACTAACTGCAAGCAGTACCATCCATTTATGATGAAAAAAATAGAGACCATCCTTGGGGTTCCTTAATCATGAGAACTTCCTTCTCAGACTCCTAAAAATATTTCCAGTCGCAGAGAATTTAAGGGACGAGGATGATGGGAACAAGCAGCATGCAGCAATCTATCCCTCCCACAGAAATCTTCTTTTACCATGATCCAACCTCTCAGGCTCTTTACTAGGATGAGCAAAAAAAGGAAAAAAAAAAATCTAAGCGTTGTGAACCAGCCCTTCCCTGCTGTTATCACTAGAGAATCGGTAGAAAGGATAAAAGAGGAAAATCATAATTTTGCCCTGGAACATGATGGAGGTAATGAGGCATCAAGGCCACTTACTGCTGAAAACATAATTGGCACATAAGCGCAGGAGATGCTTGGTGGTAGGAAAGAGTTCTTTGTTTCAGAAACAGAGGGATGTCAACAAATTATAACTGCTCTGTGGTCTGGAGTGGTAATTCTAAGAGTAAAATGGATATTTCTCCCCCAAATAATGCACCCCTAGAGAACAGTGATTACTACAGTGTTTACTAGCCTGGTGGCTTTAATTGTTTTCACCTAATATGAATAAATGATGAGGGAAGTGCAAAGGAATAGAAAGCAGGCCCCTTGGTGATGAAGAAGCAGCTTGGATTGGAGACCTGAACGTTTCTTGCACATGAGAGAGAGAGCCAGTAAACTCTTGGAGGTCCTTGTGGACCTTCTAGAGAACCTCTAGGAAGCTCATTCATGAGTCTAAAGAAAGATAATACAGTCACCTTCGGTACAGTCCCCTTTGACGTCAGGTAAAAAGACTTCTCTTTTGGAGAGAAAAGATGAGCAAATGTTCTTATTCTGGAAGTTTTTGTCCAATCACTTTAATGTAAAAGTCATCATGGGAAAAATTTTCAAGCTTTCTTGGGGTTCCTTTATAATTCTTTTGTTGTTCTAAGTGTTCTGCTGACATATGGGTTTAAGATTTTTGGTTTTAGAATCATTTTTTTGGACACCTTTATTCTTCCCTCTCAAATATTTTGAGTCAGCATACATTATGCCACTATACACAGAGCCAAGCAATAATTCATCTTCGGTGGAAGTCAGAGACAACTCATGTATTAATTAGCAAGCTTTTCAGTGACTAGTGGATGGAAATAGGTTCCAACTGCTACTCAAACACAGCCAGTGATTTCCAGGAAGAAGAATATAAAGTCAGTTACAAGGAATTTCTTACCCAATTTCTGTCCAGCCAATGAATGGACTTTGCTTTCATCTGGCACTGAGGAGAAATAAAAGAGACAAGGATCAGTCTGCTTGTAAATCAGCCATTTTTTGAACTAAATTAATATCGATTTATAATAAGGTAAATCTTTTACTGGCAAAGATTTGAGAAAAAATTTCCCCAGCTTACCTGGGGCACCTCATTTCTATTGGTAGATATTTTATTTATTTATTTTTCTCTATTCTTGTTTTATTGTTTATTCTATTACAATTCTTTCCATTTTTTCCCCTTTTGCTCCCCTCTACCCAGCCCAACCCTCTCGCCTACAGTCAATCTCCTCTCCATTGTCCATGTCCACGAGTCATTCATACATGTTCTTTGGCTGATCCCTTCCCCTTCCTTCCACCATTTGCCCTTCCTCCTCCCTTCCTTCAACTATCATTGGTAGATATTTTAAATAGCTATTAGGAAATATATATTAGACTTATGTATTTAATTTTATTTTAATTTTCAATATTTTCAGTTTTTTTTAAACTAGGTTATTGTTTGCATGTTTCCAAAAGGAGAAACTAAATGCATGGGCCTAGAGATGTATAATATATAGTAAAAGATTTTGAACATAATTACAGTATATACATTCGATACTCAACTTCTGTATCTGATAAGCCTAGAGTAAAAGTGAACAGGCTTCTAATCCCCCTGAAAAAAATTTAAAATAGACAAAACATGAAACAAGAGGTTAGACATCAGGCAACAGAGAAGCGCGACTCCTGAGAGATGGAAAACAAGTGAGGCAAACCCTACAATCACTCCAGTTTACTGTATGGAGGGTTTCTAGACTGTGGTGCAGTGAGGGGGACATAGGCAGAGCCCAGTGTAATCCCGGCTCCAGGACATGCAGCTGGGTGTCCAGGGAAGCCAAGGCAGGGGGAGTCCTGAGGTCAGGGAACTGGAGAGGAGAGAGCTACACAGAATTCTTTCTGAGATCTGTAGAGCAGCCTCTCATGTATGTAGTTGAACACTGACGATCATGACCTGTAATGGCACAGAACCTCCTTGAAGTTAAAAGGGAAGAGTGTCCAAAGTTCACACGGGGCTGGGAATAGGCCCTCTTTCCAACAGCCAGAATGAAAAACTTCCTCATTCACAAACTTCAGTTAGAATATGAAGAGGAACCTTGCTTTAGGAGTGGGGGAAAATAACTCTAGATGAACCCAGTTCTAATGAAATAGATAAATTTTTAAAAGACACAAATTACCAAAGCTTAAACAGGAAGAAATAGAAAATCTGGATAGCCCTATAGGTTGTTTCTTTAATGAATTTTTAGTTCACACTTTTTCACAAGCAAGCTCTGGACAGATGGCTTCACTGGTGAATTCTATCTACCAGACATTTAAGGAAGAAATAATACCAACTTTATAGAAATTCTTTCAGGCGATTCAGAGGAAGGAATATATCTCAACCCATTCTATGAGGCTGGTATTACCCTGATATCAGGCAATAATATTACATGAAAGCTGTTAACCAGTTCTTGTCATGAATGCAGATGAAAAGTTCTTAACCCTTAAGCATCTCTGCATGGATTGCCACTTTAATATTCAACAACAGCTGGTCATGATTCACCACGGGCCATTGTTCATGTTTGTCTATACAACTCTGGTGCTCAAGGGTTGGAACAAGGTGAGGGGAGTTTCCCAACAAGAAGGACCTTTTCCATTTTCCCCACCACGAGATTGGTCTCAGAGTAACATGCCCCTCCTTCTTGTGCCTACCAGTCCCATTTCATTCACCCAGCCCCTACATATCGATCTTCCCAGCCCCACTTATCCCTCCTTTCCTAAGCAATTGCTTCATTTTCTAGATAAAAGCACTGCATGCCTGTAATTTTTCTGGTATAACTGCTTAAAAATATTGTTAGAGTTTTCTTTGTACATCCGGTTGGAGATGTCAGTTTGTATTTATTTGGCTCCAATTTGGGGGGCAATTTCTGTCTTTCCCAAGTCTAAAAAATGGTATAAACAGAAAAATATTGGAAAACAATCATAATGATTAAAAATACTAGTTGCTAATATTTGAGTACTTCTAATCGCAGGTTCTGTCCAATGCAATTGACATCTAATACATTTAATCCTCACAATGACCTGTAAAGACGGGTGTTGTTATTATCTTTTCTCTACAAAGAAACTGAGGCACACCTCTTAAGTAGGGGATAGGATCTAGAACTTCAACATGGCCTCTTACCCACTCTAATTGTGATGAGTCACAGAAGAGTTGCTATATTTTTTGAATCATCAGCAACACAAATTAAACACTTAACAGACATCTATGTGTCAGAAAGCCATTATCCTTTTTATCTGAATATATGTTATTAACAGAAACCTTATTTTGTTTAACATGTTTGGAAATCTACAATTCTAGTAGGTTCAAGCTAAAATACCCATTCCCATTTCACAGATGAAAAGCCATGGGTCTGATCCTGACATGGAAATTTATTAGCTGTATGCAATTTGATTTAACTTTCTGTGCTTCAATTTCATCATATATAAAATGAAGATAATATGGCTTCCTCCATAGGTTTGAAGTAAAAATTACATATGTAGTTTTATGCAAAGTACTTAGAAGATCATATAGTAAGTGCTTAAGCAATATTAGCTATCATTATTAAAACTAAATAGAAAAGCAGAATAACATGATCGTTAATAATGAGATAGATGTGGGTTGAATCCCAGGTTTACTGGGCAAGTTACAAAGCTCTTTTTAACCTTAGTTTCCTCACATGAAAAATGAAATAAAAGCACTACACAGGGAATTGTGGGAATAAAATGAAAAATATGTACAAAAGCACTTAGCACAATGCCAGCTACGTATTTCTCAATCAACAAAAACTTTTGAGAAATGGAAACTGTGAGAGGATGGTAAAGGTTATAAATTTAGTAATGGTGGTGGTCTCTGTGATTTAACTTGGCTTGGATTCTAAAGGAATATAGGGATGGAACTGAGAGCGTACTATGCTTCCGGCCAGGCACTAGGTACTTTGAATTAGCTCATGGATAATCCAACACCCACAGCAGCTTTTACTTCCCAGTTTACCTGGTTCCCAGTTCATTGTGTAGAGGAAGAAAACAAAGAAAACATAATACTCACAGTATATGGTGTTATTACGTACAGTTATTCTGAGAAGATGGATTCATAGAAGGGCAGAATTTTGTTGTTTTGTTTTTGCCTGTATTTTTTTTTAACAGACATGTTATCTCATTAAATCTAAGCCAATTTAAGTACTGCAAATTTCCCAGTCATATTAGGTTAAGCATGGTACTTTCTTAATTTTTTGGCTGCATACCATGTATTATTTTTAGTAGGAGTACTTATCATTATTTTAGTTGGCAATTTGAAATTCTTTACAACACTAACATAAGCTATTTTTAAATACAGTGGAGAAACTCCAAATGAGTGATAGGCATAAAAATTAAGGGTCTCTCACCAAAATATTCACTGACACAGATATCTATCTTTAGGACAGAAGATAAATGAATAAACATAATAGAAAAGAAGAGAACTGTAATGACTTAATTAATAGAATACATTTTATTTAAAAGGTTAAATTGGGAACAATCATCTTTTATGCACATACTTAGTGCTGAGAAACGATTTAAATAACAGTAGCAAATGAGAAAATGAGGTAAAATTATACACACCATCACCACTTTTTTAAAATGACAAGTGTTATAATTAATACTCAACTTCTTTTATAACTCAGATTACCTTAGAGCTACTATAAAGTTATCTCTTGGGGCTAGAACTTAAATCTAGTCATTTAACTGCATAATATTTAGATAGCACAGTGACTGGAACAGCAGTAATATTATTATGAGGGTGTGTCATTTCAAACAAAGACCTTATTTATCAGAGATTGAAAAAATGAATGGGCTGGTTGCGGGAAAGGTCTTTCTTCCAAAATGGTAAGGTACCAAAAGCATCAAGTAAGAGAGTGTTGATGGAGTAAGAGCCAAAAATTTCTTCTAGTTCTGATGACAGGTTCCTTTTTATTTCTTCCTTTTTAAATTTTCTTCACCTATATAATACCTTTCTTATCCTTCAGTTTTACCCAAGGGATGGCAATACTTACTCTTGATTACCTTAAAGGGATATTACAGCAATTGAAGAAATATCAGCAAAATTCTCAGTCCTTCTGAAGATGTGATTCAGACATTTTTATTGTAACTGTTATTAAATACCTAATACTTAAATACCATGAACTCGTCACTCTTGAGATATCTTTGGATTTATTTAGATAATGGAATTTCTAAGCTCATGTTTCCCCATATTCAACCCAACATTGATGAACACGACTTGATTTAATTACAGTAAGGTGCTTCATAAGATCATTCTTTGGTTTGGATGGTTGTTAATTTCATGGTCGATCCCCTGGTTCAGGAAGACTTGCTTGGAAAATACAGCAGCCTGCCTATGTTTCTAGTTACCTTGGTTATAGACCTTTGAGCTCATTAGAACTGCTCAAAAACAGTGGCGCTTTTTTCAAAAGCACGGATAAATACACATTGTCTTTTGAATTCAGCCACATTCACTGTATGGAAGAGAAACCATAAATAAAGAAAATATGGAGAGAAAATCTGTGAAAAAGATGGCACACTGAGAGCTTATTAACGGCAAACATTAAAGTGCATATAATACTTAAACATATTGGCTTCCCAGTAGGATACATTTATATTAATATAGTGATCACTTAAAGTGTTTTATTCCTTTGTCAAGCCTTCTTATGCACTTCAAATGCATTCTCACTAGGGCAAAATAATCCCCTTGCTTATTGATAGCATTTGATACGAATTCTGTAACATAAGTGACTATTAGGAACAGAACTTGCTTAATAAAAATTTGCAGAACAGTGGCAGATTTGGGGAGCTAATGGGACCCATATGCTCTTCTTAGGCTGACAGAAGATGGTATATTGCTATCACGCACAAATCTCTTCAGATAAAGATTGCCATCCGCTACACTTAACTCTTTTTGGGAATGCCAATCCTATGTCTCGAATGGGG